AAAAAATCGAAACGCTAGTCAACAAAGCATAACCAACACCATGAGCAGCTTCAGCAAACAGTTTTTTCGTGTGAAATTGAATGAGGCTCATCACCCCACTTTGTTACCCCTGTCGTTGAAACTAGTGACGTTGAAGATCAGAGACCCTTGCTGCCTACTGCTACCCTACTGCTCCATATCGACTTTCGAAGGGAGCTTTCGGTCCATTGCTCCCAGGAGAAACGGAGCTGGGACATATTGTAGTCGTCAAATGCCTTTCTGAACTGATGGTATGTCTCCAACTTTTTGCGCTCAGGAAGCAGTAGGGGTGCCTAAAGACGCAGTGATTAGGCAGAGCAGGGTCAGAGCTGTAGGGAACTCGAGGGATTAACAGCTAGTATCAAACAATAGTCGTAGCCTGACAGCAGGACTTCCCAGGGCAGGGTAACGACCTCAGCTGGACAAGCATGGACAATTACTGTTCCGTTAGGCCCCCGAACGCCCTTACCCTATCCGATGAGTTCCTCCCACCTTCGGCACTTCCGTAATGATGAAAAATCTCGAGGTGGAAGATCAATCTAGTAGTGATTTTTCATTTCTCGCCTTTTGGGAAGAGACAGCGCTGGCTTTGAGTGGAAGAAAGCGAGTATAAAGCGTATGTACTTTTACCCTTAATACAGGTGATGGTTCAGATATTTACCAAATAGAATCGGAACGGCGAACATTCTATCAACCCTGGGATAATGTCACCTGGAAGTCAAAATTCAGTCTAGCATGGCAACATGTAGTACTCCCCAACTTTTTTAGCAAATTCCATTTGGGAATGTGGAACCCACCGGGTTCCACTTCGGTATATTGCTCCCACTTCCTTTTTTGATTCCGTTCCACTTATAAGAATTTCGCAACGCTGCAAGATCACCACTACAACTTGGAAAATCTCGTAAGAGGCCCCCGCGCATTTGAATGGTAGCCTTCATCACAAGCTGACAATCCAACATTGCCTGCTCGCCTTGTAATATTTTTGCCGCATTCCTACGCAGGCTTTCATTATGGCTGTGCTGCCATAATGTCCATCATGTAAATAATTTAGTTCGAAGCTCAGGATTTGGTGCTCATGAATCCTATTTGGAATGCCTACATCCTCCGTTTAGAATCATGGGGCGCTGAAGTGCGTATTTGACCTAAAAAAATGCAAAGCTTCTATTGGGGTTTCCCGAAAGTTGTGCGTTTTTTGAACACTGTTTGAGCATCTGTCTGAAAAACAAGCAAAATTCATCAGCAATATCTACCCCTCATTAGCATTTATTGTAGGCTGAACATTGAGTCCAATGTCTGCTGTAACAACGATAGTTAATGTCATTGCTTCACGAAGGTCAGTTACGAGGTAAACAAGACTCACAGAGCCGATTCAAATTCCTCCGGCCCAAACTCTTTTTGTCATTGGTGAAACTCCAGTTCGGGGCCACTCCATTTTTTCTCCAATACTCAAGATAAGGATTAGAGGGCTCACGACACGTAATCGACTCATTTAAAGTAGACTTCTGATAAATATTGGTGTAATGGGTGAGAAACCCTGAAACGTTTTCACATTTCCGCCTGCCATGACCCAAGGGAACGGTCCTGGACCAGGAGAAAGGACACCTCCGCAAAGGGCTAAGGGTGCAGGAGCTCCAGGGTGGATCACCTGTGCAGAAAAGTGGATGGGATGTGGGCAGGTAGTGTGGAATGTAGGACATCCACCGGTCCTTATCAAAAGTACGCTCGAAATGAGTCGTTCACTTATTATCTTATCCGTAGTGTTCGATAGCCCAAAGAACTGCTCTCTAGTACTACGGATAAGATAGCAATGGAGTGGCCCCCCCGAACTGGAGTTTCACCGATAATAACAGCAACGAGGCATGTGACATCACTCTTTGCTCGCACGCCAATATTTATTAAAGGCAAAGGTCGGGCTTAGTGAACCTAACCAACCCTTTCGGTCATTCCTGTAATTGGTTACGCACCCATAGAGATGTTCCCATGCTCAAAATCTCAAACGACGCGGTAATAAGGCCTCAGGGCACGTACTATGCGCTATCGCCGCCTAGCCCCGCTACGACCGCCCACCTCGGGATGTGGCATAACGTGTGAAATCAGCTAGGTTGATAGCCGTATCAACCGATAGAACGACTGATATCTTCAGAAAACTTGCTTGTACGTGCCTCTTCCCCAAGCCGGCCTCCTTCATTGCTTTTGAGAAAGAGGGCTTTGTTAACGGCCTTGTCGAGGGTTTTTCGCGGTTTTTTCTCCACTGCCGTTACACTTCGCATCTCTATACTCAGTTTCAATCGCCATAATCCCCCTTATTGAGCCAGACTTTTGCCTTTAAGCCTACCCAAATCATACCCTATGCCAATGTTGTGAACATACAGGCCTCAGCTTGACGAAATTCACGATGAAAAAGCAACCCATTTCAAACTAACCTAGGGATGGTGAGTGATACACAAAAGAAAAGAACCATGAGAAACGGCCCAGAAACCCGAGAAAATGGGACCCCTTCCTTGCCCGTTTGATTTGAGCATTAATGGCACTATCATCGCTGTGCCCTCTTCAAGACTACGCTCTCTAAGCTATCTAATCACTCGCGAGGTATTGAACTACGGCGAGTGATCAGATGATCGGTGGCGGAGATCGCCGAACTCGCCAGCTTTGAGGCACATGATAGGTCGCCGAGGTCAAATTTTTCCATGCGAATTGCGCGTCAGTTCGCACCCTCAGGAGGTCCGTGGGTCCCTCAACTAGGTCAGTTTCCCTTTCTTCGACCTTCATTCTAATCGTAAATTCCTCCTTTAAGTCAAACTCAAAGCTAACCTTAGGCTTCAATGATAGCGCAGCTCTGGTTACCCGACACTACTATTAGAACTAAACGCCTCCCCTCCTGTTGTAGAGACAGTTATTGAGATTTCACACCTGGATAGAAGGTGCAGCAGGGAGGGAGAAGTCTTTAGGTCAACTTGCGAATACGCCCACTACCTACCCCCCCCACCTCCATCAGACGGGCAACATGACCCTTCCCCAAGCAGTTGTCGTTCATTGTTCTCATGGTTGATATAGAGCGTTCACTCGTTGCAGTTACGAAGTTGTTCCGCTATACGGAGGGATTAAGTTTACTCATGGGATAAGGGAGCATGTTGGTAAAGAAAAACATGACGACATGGGAACTGAGAAATTCAACCATTAACAAGGAGAAGCGCAAACGACGAACCACAGCTGCACCTAAAACCGATCTCGTCTTCAACCGATTCAGACTTTTGCGAATCGCCACGCTAGCGTCCGCAGTCGCGTGCGTACCAGTCACATGAGTGATTCCCCACTGCCGCCTGACCACGCAGAACACACGAATCGCCGCGATTCGCAATTCTACATCGCCTCACCCCCCTAGAACCTTCACCCTCCAAAAACTCTTTTCACCCGGCTTACAACTCAACTTCGGGCACATAGTCGGTATGCGAACATCGTCGGGGACACGATCCACTACGACTTAAAGACCAGACTCACCAGGAAGAAAACCTCTTCCGGTTCCAGCGCGAACATTCTCCCTGCGGAACCCGTCTACAGTCGACACTCTCAAATTATGAATTGGGCGTATCACGCGGAATGCCCGTGCCGTCACCGCACTTGATAATGTTGTGATAAAAACACTCCGCCATATATCGTAAGCATGCTGGAAGCAGGCTTATCCGCGCAACTTCTATCAAGTGCGGTGGCTGCCACGTCATTTCCGGTGACACGCCCAATCAGACTTCGAGATGTGACTGTACGTACCCTCGCCTTCAAATGACCAGAAATTGTGCAATTGCAGAAATTGACGTGGCATTAACGTGGCATCGATTCAAGAACATCTTTGAGCACACGTGATGTCACCTTTTCATCGAGAATTTAGCCACGTGTGCCACGTGGATTTCTGGCTGCATGAAACAGAGTGTATCTAACGCTTCGCGACCGTCCAGATCGTTACGATCTGGCGACCGAATATGCATGCGCTCTACGCGACTTCGTCGTCTTTGCACTGATTTTCTGGGCGTGCAATTAATGGTGGTGGTCGTAAATGCACGGGAAACACTTTATTAGACATGACTCGTGTCGAAACGCCATCTGTCTTATCCTTTGTAATCGTCGGTCTTCCTTTTAATGGGTATTGCTGTTGTGAGAGGTTTTCGTGTGTTATCACTTTGCAAGTTTAGGTTATCAAGGCTATGGTACAGAGTTGCTCATAAATATTTCGCTTTCTGCTTTCGCGCTTCGCAATGGCAAACCTCGGATCATGTGTCTTGAAGCATAGCTCAATTGAGAGTTTAAACGAAGCAAGTGAGCTACCTAAGGAGACGATTGCAAGATTGAAGAATTTATCCTCGGAAAAGTAAGTTTCCTATTTCTAATTAACGAGTTCTGCTCATAAAATCCTTTTTCGTAGAACGCGAGATCTCCGACAACCCTGCTTTCTTGATTGTTATATAAGATCACATCTGTAGAAGTCTTTTTTTTTCTTTCCAAGGCTTCCTGTGTTGGGAATTAGCAGCACTCCTTCGACAATTTGTGCGTGCGTCATCAAAGCGCCCCTTCTATCACATACCAGACTGGTTCCCCTACAGCCGCCGGTTTTCCACTCTTCTGCATATGCTACGTGTCTTTGCACGTTTTCACCTCCTTGTGGAACTCCAACTTTTGAGATGTAGCTATGATAACAGGGGGCATAATTTCAAATAAAAAAACCGCATGCACTTACCATCAGATCTGAAAGAAGAATTTTGTGGACGAACGAGCAAACAGCTGATAGGCCGACACAGTAAACTATTGCCTGAAGTGCCTGTAGTTGGCGACTTAGGCGATTTGACAACAAAATAAAGATAGAGGGCGGTTAGGCGTGCTAATCATTTCGCATGCACTCCTAATTCCGTACTTGCCTACTCGCTTGGTTGGTGTAATGTGAACAAATGTGTGGTTCACTAGGACAGAAAGCGACTTTTTCGCGTTTCGCAGCGCGAAACATTTTCCGCTGCGGGAACCTCAGGTCCACCGCTGATCATCAGTGGACCCGAGGTTCCCGCAGCGAATCATCAGTGGACCCGAGATTCCCGCAACGAACAATGTTTCGCGCTGCGAAACGCGAAAATTCGCTTTCTACCCTAATGAACCACACCCTGCAACAATACCTAATCGTAAGTAATGGGCTGGTGTCAGACTCCGCGATCCGTCGCAGGTTCCGCTGATTTGCTCGATTTGCGCGATTCACGGCTCCCCCATTTTCTTCATGATTTGGGGCGCGGCGAGCGCGAGTCCACAGTGCCCGCGAACTGTGGTGGTGGAGCGTTTTCAAATTTACCCACACAGTTCGCGGGCACTATCGACTCGCCGCAGCCGCGCCCGCCTCAAATCGTGAAGAAAGTGGGGGAGCCGCGATTCACGCGACGGGTCACGGAAATCACAAGTACCCGGTCAATACTGCAAGGTGTTCTCCAATCCTGCCGCCACTTCTGCTTGATAGTGATGGCTGAATGACGACTGCTCATGATTCCACTTGTTTCATATTCAGTGTTTCAAATGTTCAAATGGGGCACTTGCAATTTTTGCGATCCGTCGCAGGTTTCGCGCAAATCGCGAAAATCAGCGAAACCAACGAAGCGGACGCGGATTCTGACACCAGCCATAGGCTTATATATGGCTAGGACGACGATCTCATCCTCACCACCCCTTTGTTTCTGCAACGCGCCTACACGCAGTCGTGCTGCCTCTGCATGCTAGGCGAGTAGCACAAGCAGAAAGGAGAACGTGATTGTGGTTGGGAGCGTGGTAATCACAATGTGTTCACCATAATGTTATTACAAACAAGTAGGATAAGAAAAAACAAATGGCGAATGCTCCAACGTTTCTTGAATTGAGTAGCTTTAATATTACAGAATGTTTTCATCGATCGAGAAGACAATACAGGAGGCACGTTTAGCTAGAGGGGATATTGAAAAGCAGTATACTCTCTACTACCGATGTGCACAGTTGGCAAAACTGATTTACAAGCAAAATGACTTTGCGAAATTCAAAGCTGAGGTCAGTGAGATTGATTTCGCTTTCGTGCTTAACTATTGACTATTCTGTCATAACGATATTTGCAGCGAGGAGCGATTTTTGGTCTGCGATTCAAGGAGGCCCTTGATGAGGCGGATAACCTTAAGACTATACTCAACAAGAAGTACGAGGAGAAAATGCTTAGAGCATCACAAGACGCTTCGACCGAAGTACGAGTGCTAAAGAATATGGATAATGCAATTACTGCCGAGGGAGGTGCGCAAATCTTTTTTTTTTGATACACCCATTGCATTCTTAATTCATTTCTTTTACATTCGCTCCACATACGACGTTGTTTTTCATTATAATTTCCTGAATAGAAACCAACGTCAACCAAGCCTCGTTTTCTGGAATTTGTCTCTGATTAGGGGTTGATTTTTCGGGAACAGCTGTCAGATTTGTGGATTTCACCATACTTTCGGGAGTTTTCCTGTTTTGTCTCCACTGGAAGAGATCCTGTGTGCTATTAGCCCTTGGAATGGGGGGGGGGGTGGATTCGTTGGCTGAAGTTCCTCGACTCATGACTCGCCTTGGTGGAAATACCGAGAGGCATTTGGTGCAAAGGCTATGGTGCGGAAATCTTGGTTGAAAAGAAGTTTCAATTATATTTTCCGGAACACCAAATTCTAACAATGTTTAGTTTGAGGATAATTTTCACGTCAAAGTTAGTCTTGAACTAGTGTAGAACCTTCAGTATTCGTGAGTTATTTGAATGAACGGCTCTTCTTAATTTCCAGAACTTCGACCTTCCTCCAGCGTTTTAATAAGCCCAAAGGAATTGGTTCGAATGGTTGAGCACGCACAGCCAAAAAAGACTGCCGTCATTGTCGATTTTCGGAAGGACAAATCAGAAGTTATCAACTATAAACATGGACATTTCATCACTGTGGTATCCGTACCATACGACGTGATTGTCACAGGGTACGCTTTTCCCTGAATTACCCCTTCAGCTCCCTTCTGGTTTTCAACATCGCTTCCGTTTTCTTGTCCATATGAAACAGTTTGTCTGAACAAAGTGATAGCGTAGGGTGCAGAAATAGAAGCTTTACCTGTGTTCACGTGTTGAATTTCCGTACCCGCTTTTTTTTCGGCGACTAAAGAATCGAGCGGTCGAATGTGAAATGTGTAATTGTGGGCTAGTGGCTCCATTCACTCACAGAATCCTCTCCTCTTCTCGTCCACACCTTCACTGTACTTTTCAAAGTGGTTCTTGGCATTTGAGACAGTCATAACAATAGCTCTCTTTTGTTTGGTCTTACTTACTTTGCACTTCATCACGATTCAATTTTCGCTAAGGCTTGTCATGACCACCGTACTAAATAGTTTCAAGTGACTGATTTTTTTGCCCTACTCTCAAACTTTCTGACAGTGTAGTCATGCCGTATGGGTCGTAAAAGCAGAAAATTCTCTCATGCAATACAAGTTGTTTAGCTTGATATTTACTTCGCTACGAAATCAGCTGGAAGTTGGCCAGCGACCTCTTCTTCATCGTATAGGATCGTGCGATCTTGTGGTACTAATGAGCGACGCTGATGTTGAGCTCAGAAATGGGCAGCCAGTGCGTGGATCAAAAGCTCATTTACTCTCCATGGCTTTGTATGAGGTATTGGTTTTTGAAACAGCATTCAAAAGTGGTAGTTGCAAGTTGGAGTTCCAAACGGTTTCATGTTTAGTACAACCATGAACACAGACCGAAGTCCCCGTTGCTCTTTATGGATGGTGGATTCGATAACTGGCGGGATCAGTATCCAGTGTATACTAAAAGTGACGGTACTTTGAAAAGAAACGAACCCAAAGATCAATTGGATCAAATGGTCATAAACTACAAGAGAGGTATATTTTCTACAAATTAGAAAATACATTACTTGGTTCTAATGTCGGAAATTTTAGCCTGCTTGATGTTGGACTACCCTGACCTGTCGCCACCGCGTCCATCCTCTCAACAACCTCGCGTTGCGACAGCGATTAATGGCGTAG